TTTCCCCGCCACCCGGGCCCTCGCCCGCAACCCACCGGCGCGGAACCCTGGCGCCGGATATGATTGGAGGTCGAACCCACCGACGGACGGGAATTGACCTGAAATCGCAGAGAACGGAAAGCTTGGTGGGGTTTGCCCAGACTTTGGCGTCCTTGGAAAACAAGCAGAATGGGACGTGGGCGCGGGATGGTGCTGCAAATCTTTAGATCGCGACATTGGAATATCGCTTCATGCAGAAGGGTCTTCTTTCGGCCGCCAGCTTACATGAATCGTATGCCGTTACGTTTGCTAATACGACGCAACCTTGGCTGGACGTGTATATAACCTTAAAGTCCTCAGCCCACCCAGACCCGTACTCCTTGTGATGTTATCGCGACCATCTCTCCCGTCGATCCTCCCCCGCTTTCTTAGCTCCGCACGCTTCGTTGTCAGTTTGTCGTCACGAACAGGCAAAGGCGGCCACCATGGGCGAGTTAAGAACGGTGACAACGGCCGAGCCGTCAACGGATAATCCCATCAACTATGGACCTCCCGAAGAGGGCATCTTCAAGCACATTTCCAAGGTCATACCGTACTTCCGGAACGCGCGCAATGTGCTCGTCTTCAAGTTGGATGTGATGCTGCTGGCATGGATGTTCCTTGCAGGCATCATGAAGGAGATGGACCAGTCAGCGACGACGCAGGCATACGTTTCGGGCATGAGAGAGTCTCTAAGCCTGTACGGAAACGAACTGGTCGAATTCAACACGTATTTCTCCATCGGATACGCTCTAGGCCTCGTGCCTGGCCAATTGATTCAGACGAGGGTATGCAACTGGCGTCAGGCTGTCTACAACCGGGGCTTTTCTAACATCAAGACAGTTCCGACCGTCCATGTTTCTCCCATTCTGTGAGATGAGTTGGGGACTGCTGGTGCTCTTGTAAGTACTTCCTGCGACTCTTTACCCCTGAGCCCAAACTTACAAATGGAACACAGCACATACAAGGCACCCAACGCTCAAACCATCTTCGGTCTTCGCTTCTTCCTCGGCCTGTTTTCCTCCGCCTTCTGGCCCAGTGTCGTTGCTCTCATATTCAACTGGTATACTCCCGCCGAGCTCGCCGTTCGCGTGGCCTGTTTCACAGTCTGCGACGTTGCCGGCGCCATGTTCCTCGGTGCACTCCAAGCCGCGTTGTACCGCGACATGAATGGCGTCCACGGTCTCGCCGGCTGGCAGTGGCTTTTCATCATCTCCGGCGCCGTCACTGTCGGTCAAGGTCTCTTAGCCTTCGTCACCGTCCCGGATTCTCCCGCCAATACTCGCGCCCTCTACCTGACAGAGAATGAGAAGCGCCTTGCACGAGAGCGCATGGGCAACTCCGGTGTGAACACGTCCAAGAGGATCCCCGCATCCGTTCTCAAGACGAAGCTGCGCAAGCTCATAGTCCACCCGATCACTTATTTCTACCTCTTCTCGTTCGCCTTCGGAGCTTGGGCCCATCGCGCCAATTCGTATTTCGTCTTGTATCTCGAGAGCATCAAGGACGCAGCGGGCAACCGGGTATACGATACATACCAGGTCAACATCTTGCCTCTTGGGGGCTATGCTTTGCAGATCGTCACAAATGTTGGGCTCAATTGGCTTTCCGACTGGAAACGTTGGCGCTGGCAAATCAGCGTCTTTTCAGCTGCCGCCCACGGGATATGCTTGGCTGTGCTCTGCGGATGGCCCTCCGATCACAAGGTTATTCTTGCTTTCTACTTCCTGACCTACGGCACCAATGCCGGCAGCCCCTCACTCATGGCATGGATGGCGGAGATTCTCCGCAAGGAGCCGGAGGCTCGGTCCATCATCGTGGCCATGACGGTCACTATTGTTTACATCGGCCATGCCACGATCCCCTTGAGAGCTTTCCGCGTTGCCGACGCACCCAGATATCCCGTCGGATTCCCACTTACTACGGCTTTCACGGTTGCCACGATCCTGGTTCAACTTGGCATGCTGTGGTGGGACAGGCGGCATCCAGAGATGGCAGAATATGGATATGAGCCAGCCCTCAGCGCTGATGTTTCTTCAGATGGGGAGAATCCCAAGCTGGCGGATGCAGAGACCGTTCAAGCTGGAACTGATGCAAAAGCGGCTAACACAAATTTTGCCAAGGAACTTTAGATGGGGCTTTTGGTGGTTATTTTCCTAATTCCGCGGCATATATACCTAGTCTTTCGACCAAAGCTTCACCACTCAAATATCAGTACATGCTCCTTCAAGGGGAGTTACGTTGTATGACCGTTCGAAAAATGTACTTGCCCCGGTTCATCTGGGCTGCAGAATACCACGCTGATGCGACATGCTTGAATGATACCCAGGAACCAAAGTCCACTCGTCATCACTAACGCAGGATGCATCTTCCACCGTAGCCACAGCCAGTAGGAACCGGTGCCTTTTGAGATCTGTCGATTTAAATCCACCGAAATCATATTCCCATGGCGCTCCGCAACAAACTCCCAGTTCGCCTTGGGAGGCCTGCATGACCTTCGTGTGTCTTGGGAGTATGTAGACGAAATTTCGTGCATTTCAACATGCAGATGCAGACTTTCCGATGGCTGGTTCTGGATCCATCATTTTGGCCTCGGCAGCGGGCGCGTCAATGTTTCGCACCTTACCCCTCCTTTACTTGGGATGATATGCTTGACGTCTGCCAGAGAATGATGGCCAGTGAGTCTGCGCGTGTCTCCGAGGGATGCGTGACTCGTGCGCCGAACATAGTTGAAGTGTCGTCAGCCGTTGAGGGATAGTGCGGTTTGTAAAACGGCGGTCTTTCCAGCGCGGCGATTACCAACCCGCCGGAACAAGGGGGAATTAGGCAACAAGCTTTGAGGGGTAAAGTCGAACGCTCCATGCTATATCGACGATGGAGAATAGGTTGAGGAGGAATTGGGACCTGATTATTGTTTACCGTGATGCAACGTCGCGAGCTATTTCAACTGTCCTGCGTGGAACGCCAAAGACAGGTCGGAGGGCAAATGTGCAGATGAACTATCATCGCTGGGGGTCATACTCCGACTGGCACGTCTGAGATGCTGCACCCGTGGCATCCAGTGACAGCCCGTCGGTTTGAATGGAGGAGCGGGAGATGTGCCCTTTGGAAACTCTGATAGCTGCTATTTCCCTGTCTCAAAAGCTTAAAACGGGAGAGCTTCGCGTCCCCCCAAAGCTTGTAGAGCTTCAATTTCTTGGCTGTTGGAGAATCTACGCGCCTCCGCATGGTCGAAAACCTCTTTTAGTCGAGAAAAAGTCGCCCATTTTCTCATTATGACGCCGCCTTCTCGTGAGCTTCGGCGGTAACCAATATTGGCCATATTCAGATTACGCGCCCATCATGAGGCTCTCCACACTTATCGCATCACTGTTCGCAGTACAAAGTCTCGCTTTCCCCTTCGAGGCTTGCAAAGGAGACAAGGGTCGCAAGCCTGATGGTTCGCGCAGTGGTTCGCGCGGAAACAAACCTGGAGGGGTGGGCGGCGGTGGAGGAGGCGCGGGGGGCGGAGGTGGACGAAGGAACGCCAGCCATCCCACCAACGGAAGCACTCCTATGAACGGACAGCACCGCAATGTTCTATATGTTACAAACTGGAGCATATACGGCGCTGGGTACAACCCCAATAACATCCCCATCGACAAGATCACGCATGTGCTCTACGCGTTTGCGGACATCCTGCCGAATGGAACCGTGTGAGTGACGCAGGCAGCGATATATATATTGGCACAGTCAGTGATGCTAACATGTCCAGGGTATCATCCGATCCGTGGGCTGACACTGGAAAGTCTTTTGGCAAAGACAAGGTGTCGGAGCCTGGCAACAATGCCTATGGTTTAGTGAAGCAGCTGTACATGAAGAAAATGGCCAACAGGCAGTTGAAGGTCATCATGTCAATTGGGGGATACAACTGGTCTCCAAAGTTTGCGCCTGTCATTGCAAACGAGAAGTCGAGAGCCAACTTTGTGGCCTCTTCTGTGAAGATGGTCGCCGATTTCGGCCTAGACGGGTTGGACGTTGACTACGAGTATCCGAACACCACCGAGACGAGTGCGAACACCGTCAAGCTGTTGTCCGAGCTTCGAGTAGGCCTCGATCAGTATTCAGCAAAGTATGCGAATGGCTATCATTTTACGCTGGGTTTCGCCGCGCCGGCTGGGCCTCAGAACTACGCCAAGTTGGACTTCAAAGGCATGGACAAGTCGCTCGACTTCTGGTCTCTCATGGCTTTCGATTTTGCCGGTTCGTGGGAGAACACTACTGGCCATCAATCGAATGTCTTCACAAGCAAGAAGACCCCTTTGAGCACCAGAGCCAGCATTGATAAGGCCGTGAAGGATTACACGAAGGCCGGGATCCCTGCTCGAAAGATCAACCTCGGTATGCCGCTGTACGGTCGTGCTTTCAGTAACACCAAGGGCATGGGACAGTCGTACCGCGGCCTGCCAAATGGAACCTTAGCCCAACCCGGTATCTTTGTCTACAAGGATCTCCCTCGCCCCGGATCCAGGGTTGTCTGGGACAATGTGGTCAAGGCAACCTACTCCTATGATAATCGCACACAGCAACTGGTCTCGTATGATGATCTGAAGAGCGCTCTGTACAAGCAGGAGTACATCAAGAAAAAGAAGCTCGGAGGTGCCATGTTTTGGGAAGCATCTGGGGACAAAATGGGAGATGAGAGCATCGTCCGCAATATGGCAGATTGGATGGGCAAGCTTGATCGCTCCAAGAACCTGATCTCTTACCCAGTTTCAAAGTACGACAACATCCGCAATAACATGAAGGGACGCAACGCTACTTCCAACACCGCTAAGCCAACCGGGCCCAAGTAGGCGACTACACGATCGTTGCAGCACAGGAATGGTGGCAGGACCATACTAAAAATCGTGTGATAAGCAAGCAGTCAAGCCATGTGGAAAGAGGGATCTGGCCCGTTCGCTAATCAGGAAACAAATAACTTCACTTCTTTGTAAATACTATTACATGATAATACCAGCTTCTCTGAATTTCTCAAACGCCTCTAGCCACCCTTCGGTCGGATCTCTCTCGTCCGAAAATCCCACAGAACGGAGCCGCTCCAAGCTGAGCTGCCGGTCAAAGGACAGCCAGTATCCCACGCTGTCAAGTTGAGACGCTCCGGCACCCACGCCCGAAGAAGAGGCTTTCGGGAAGCCCTTCTCCGCAAAGACATGCTTGTGCTTCTTGATGTATTCGCCGGGCTTCAGAGTCTGGTCATCCTCGCTTGGGTCCACGCCCCTCAGCCCAAACCACTTAGCAAGCGCTGGCCATATCTCTCGAAATTTGGTCGGCGTCTCACTGTCGGCCATGTTGATGATCTTTCCGCCACATTTGTCCGGATTTAGCGAAGCATGAACAGCGATGCGGCCCAATGTGCGAGAAGACACCGGGGTGAAGAAGCTGTTGTAGCCTGCTGCGTTGCCAGGAAACGGGACCTCTACCGAAGGCTCTCTTGTGCCATCAACGCCGTGATTGTGAGCATACAGTGAGAGGTACTGAGCCCAGTGCAAAGCAAGAGACCACCCGGATCCATTTGGAGTGAAACCCACGACCGCATCCGGGCACACTTCTGTCCACGTCCAGCTCTTGCCCTCGCTAGCTTTACCTAGAAGCTGCCTGTACCAGGGGTAGGCGACCGTCTTGGCATAGTCCTCAGGAAGGTTGTCCGCCATTGACTCCTTCAACGGAGCTTGGAACGTTCCTCCGGGGACGTATATGCCGTAGCCCTAGATCGGTCAGTTTGTAAATCCTGTTGTTTGGGCAGTTTCCACGTACTCTTGTTCCGCCAGGGTAGATGAAGGACTTTAGCCCAGGCGACAAAGATGTGATGGCGTCAACCACACGCTGCATCATGTTGCAATTGGTCTGGCACTCCAGAATATGATCGTCATTAACCTCTTTGAATACTATGATTCTGTCAGAAATACTGATCTCATCCATCGCAACGGAAAGGTTTCTTACCAAAGTAAAAGACATGGGTGACGTCAGCTATCCCATGGACTTTCTCCTTCAGTTGTCTGGATAAGTCTTCGGCAGTGCCGTTCATCAAGTTTACCCCGGAGACTATCTCCAACCTGGGCCGGGTCGCAGATTCCGGTGGCCAGTAGAACTCTGACTCGGGCAGCGGGCGATTGATCACTGCGGTGATCTTGTCGAATGATCCCTCAGCGGGGTAGTTGGAGAGCAGCTGTTCCACAGTTGACCAGCCGACTAGGCCAGCTGCGCCGAAGACTATTGCGTGGTTGGGGTTCGACATGATGCAAACTGTTCAAAAAGCTGTGTTTGAACACTTCAATTTCTGCTGCAGTCCCAGGCTCTCAAAAGCGGATGTTGGTTTGTTGGAGTTTATTTAAATCGTAGTTAATGAATAATTGAGGCTGAAACAGCTTGACCACGCTCTACAACGAAACGAGCTTAGGGCCATCATTCAGTGCCTATCAATTGATCTAATGCGCTAGTGGCGCTGAGCCATTATGAATCATAGTTCGTCATACCGCCTCATAATACAGAAACATGCTTATGTCCCCTATTGCTATTGCGCGTAGCTCATGTTAATTCTTGAACGGTAGCAATTACATACACCTCTTGGCGGTTTTAACGAAGCCTGCTGTATTTCCGTTGAATTCATCTATTAGATTCTTGTGTCCAAAAATACCACCACGGTTCTCCGCAGGGGCAACCGAACCAGAGTTTGGTCTCGAGCTTCGAGAACTCGACCAATCTATGATATTCTGGTATTGAAACAAATGATATCTAACCTATGGTAGCCTTTATAGGCTTTACTGGCAGAGCAGACACTTACGTACTCCTCTTGGGGTGTGCGGATGTCCTTTCAATGCTCAACAATGAGAGCTCAGTCTACTACATACCAGCCCTCGCCAGCTGCCAACAGGCTCATTGACAGGGGAAGGGATTCAACACGCGTCTCTCGGCCCTGAACATTCCTTATTCGCATGGCCCTTATCCTCGCCAGCCGACACCAGGACTCTGCGCCGTAGTCTTGCTTTCCTTCTCATCATCAGGTCAGCAATTCTTCACATTCCCTCTTGGATCAATCACCGCCCATTCCACAACTCGGCAAGGAAGACGACTGCTCACCATCCAACCGTCACATCATCGCTGGACGAGGACAAGATCCCCTGGTATGATGCAGGACAACAGCTCATCCACGGCGCGCAATGCTTGTTAGACATGCAGGCAAGAGATCCAGCCATTTCGCTACATATGAGCGCTGCACAAGGCTGTGTCTAATTGTGAGGTTTAAAGAGCGCAAAGTACGGTGCGACAGAGCATTGCCGACGTGCGGGTTCCGTGTAGCCACCTCGGTATGGGGTAGCCACATCTGAGCGGGCCTGCCACCTATTGAAAGTGACGCTAACACTTATATTCATCGGCTTTCAGACGTTTGGAATGTCTCAACCAACCTTGTAGTTACAATCAAGTCGTACAGTGTCGCACGCGCGGTGAACAGCTGCTGCAGCTCCAGGAAAGGCTGGCCAAGACCGAAGCACAGCTCGCTCGTGCTATGCCAACGGTAGAAAGTCCAGCACAGCCTCCGCAGTCTAGAAGGTAGCCGTAGATAGAGCGTAGCAGATAGGCCGTCAACCTTGCGGGGCTGAAAGGCACTGAGGTGACGAGAGAGTTTGGTTAAATAGAGTTTGAGTCAGTACGCATTTATGATTAGTCTTCTTTTCCATATTCATTTCACCTTTCTTTGAACGTGCCTCGGCATACTGTATGAGAGCAGTTCTTAGTATGATCACAAATCAATACCCGTCCTCCGTACCGTTGAAGCTACATCATGGCACCTGTAGGATTCCGCATCAGTTCACACATAGCTCCAGCAGCTGATCAATGTCTGTGCCTCGGCTTTCCATACCAGAGCACTTGTAAGTATGATCACAAATCAGTGCCCGTCAAACTTCGTCAAGCAGGGCTGCAAGTTCTAAAATGGAACCCCGCGGTCCTTGTGAAACTGAAGGCCAAATATTTACAGTTGGCGTTTGAAAACATGAAATCCAAATGCAGGTGAAACGGGGGGTTTATTCACTACGACCACGAGATTAGGCCGAGTTAGGCAAGTTCGACTCACTGGTTGCAGATGCTAGCTGCGAGAATGGAGCATTATCAATCAGATGATCGTAAAATCCTAACGAAGGAGCACTGCCTCTTTTGAGCCTCTTGTCTGAGGGCACAGGTACCTATCGAGAAACGTCTGACTTGTTTCTTCCTCCTTTCGACAATAAGCTTGGAGTCGCAAATGAGATTGTTTCCGAGGTTTTTACTGTGTTATAGTGAAGCCAACTTCGGCTTCTTATTAAGGGAACGAGGTACTTGGTCGTGGTTGTGTGTGTAGAGGTCTCTGGCGACTCGCACCTCTTCATATGGAACCCTATAGGTTGGCAGTGGAAGTTTCTCTTCCATTCTCGCCCTTATAAATGTCCCTGCCAGACCCATACAACAGTCGACAAGGTGTGGTTGCAGGCAACAACCTGCTATATGAAACTTTGAAGAAGGTATGAAGGAAACAGAAGGATAGCAGAACTCTATCTTGGGATGCTGTAGAACTATGGTTCTGAGAATAATGCTAGGACAATGGGCAGTGTTTCATATTAGTATAGTTAGAACAGAACGTAACATGACTATCTGTCAAGCAAATTGTTTAACTTTTAATATATCAACTTACTAGGCCCCTTGCTTAAGCTTCTTTTGAAACCGCCCGCGGTTAGGCAATCTGTAGTAGAGGGTAAGGATTCTCATCCCAGCCTCTCAGTATGTGAGCAAAGATGCTAAATGTTATTCACCCCGCGTGGGTATTCACTCGTGGAGTTTTAATAAGGCATTCCCTACTTAATGCTTTACGCCTGGGTGATACACATAAGAAGTACTTAAATCGAGCCTTTCCCGCGTATCATTCTCAGGCCAGAAGCCTGGCTGCAAATCACTTCGCCTTATCCTGTCAACCCTGGGCACATTCTAGAACAACTCCAGCCCCGAGCAACTTTCATCAACATGATCATCTCCATTCATGCGGCGGCGATCGTTTGCGCCGCCTTATCTGCCGTCTTTGTGAACGCTTCCCAGCCCAGTTCGGTCGAGGTATGGCTGAACTCTTGTATAGGGCGCCTTTAGTGATTAAAATCAGACAGGGTCACAATATCCGTAATGCCGCTGGTGAACTTGCGACGCCCTCAACCGTTGCCTCGGGATTTGGCGGTGCTAGTGTCAGCAAACTAGTCAAAGGAAATGTCCAGATAGACCCTGCTTATCTTCGAATCAGGAACTCTGGGGAATCTCCGGGTGTCCCTAAATCCCGCAACAAGAGAATTCAGCGTGGCATTTGCCCCAAGGGAAAGAAAGCACCACCTGGATGTAAATAGGCATCCCACAATTTTGATTGAATGATAGCACACCTTGGCCTGCTTTAGTGCTAAACACTGATTTCCCTATTGAAGTTTATCTCTTTGGTAGTTTCCTCCGTTAAGTCCCTGAATTGAAAATGATTTAGCCTTGTGTTCTTACAGCTGTCTTCTTGTCTGATTTGAGTATCAGATTTTAAACCTCCACATGCGTCGTCAATAATCAATATAACAGCCAACGCAAATAAGCCAGGCCTTGAACACAGAGGGCTTTCTCGGCCCATAGATTATGCATGCTCGAGATGTGCTACGGTATTTTGTTCCAAGTGGACTCGGGAATAGCAACGCAAAGGAACGTCCCATCCATTCTTATAGACCACCTAAAAATGCCTTACGGTGGGAGCCGAGAGCATAGCAGACATACTACCAAGCTTTCGGGGCTGAAAGAAAATGAGGCCAGGGGAGGCATTTAGCCTCTTCAAAAAGGGACATGCCACTGTTGAGACACCGAGATCCCCGCTGTTGATAGTCTCACGAGACCACGCATGAATTTCTTATTCTCAGTATCGCGTAAAGCAAGCTTGCTCAGTTCCAATTTTCTTGCCCCTCTGGTAGGAGATGGAGATTGAGTACCTATAAAGGCAATTGGGGAACAGAGTAGGGGTGAAAGCTCAAGGATGACAGAACCATTTTCCGAGTAAGATCGAAGTCCAATCCAAGAAACGTCATCTGAGTAGTACGTAAACAAATATGAGACAGAACTAAGACGTCAGAACATTTGGTGCCTTTATCCACTTGAACGACAGTGCCTATTCTCTAGCCTCACGAGTCTGACTGACGTAGGACTGAGTCTATGTTTCACGTTGCGGTCTTATTTTATCCATGTTTTAATTCTTTTAAGCAGTAATATCATGACTACGTACCGCGCTGTGTGAAACGCCACCTCCAGACTAGGCTTTGTGCGATCCTCGAAGGCATCATCGTCGCCGCCTTGCGTAAGCTAGACCCTTGGCATTCCGAGAAAGGCAGGAAGCTGTATCCTGTACAGTTTCTGTGCAGGACTCTGTCGAGGGATTTTCTAGCCCACCTCGGTCAGTACTACCTTAGGCTTTTGCTGCGGTGGGTTTTTATAAATATGAGCCAGTGTGGTCCCTGGACACATTCTGTTCAAAGACAACTCCATCGCCTCTACAACTTCAGCTTGCAGATAACTTCAAAAACACCCTGGACCAAGGTAACTTTGATCAGTCTAGTTGAAGCAATTTCAAAATGGTAAGCATTATTATTGCCTCTTTCGTCTCCAATTTTCAACCATTTCTAACCCTGCATCACCTGGTCCCAGAAACTTTTGCCTACCATTACAACACTAGCGCTCCTTGTCACAGACACCGCGGCTGTCGCCATCAGAGATGATAGAGCCACGAGGGATCAGAAAGAAGTCGAGTTGCTGACTAGACAAGGTGTCGGCAACCTATCACCCTGGGACGAGTGGACCTGCTACGATCCTGGCAGCGGAGGCGGACACTCTGCGCTCCGCAAGGCGGCGGCGGTTTTCAATGATCGCTGGGGAAACCCGCGTCTTGAGATGGAAAAGCTAACGTGCTACGTCTCCGCTTGTGACGGGCACTATTTTGCTGTGTGCAACGAAAGCGGCGTAACGGTACGTTCGAATCTTTAACCCCAGGATTGTGACTGTTCGGCGTCTTGAAGGTGAGCATGCCGGCTGATTGATTCCCATAGAAAACAGAAGTCAGCGATGCTCGGAACTATGCCGTCAACGCCGATCCTGGCAACTGCTTAGGTTGTCGCTACCTTCATTTCAGGGAGTCTTACATCCGTTATTTCTTTGGGGTCGGCGAACCCAATTTCGACGCCAATAACCACCCAATGGAGAGGAGGGATTGCTAAAAGAATGGGGCTTGCTTCGGCATATGGACCTAGAAATCATGGAATCGCACTGCTAAGATCAAGCCGACGGTAGCAGGGAGGCGGAAGGATGACGGGTAGACCACTAGTCGGATGTGAGTCCGTAGCTCGAGGCTTTGCATCTGTCTTGCAACAACTTAGTACCAGCAATTTTGTATCAAAAGATAACACAATCTGGGATTAAAATCATTTCCCCAGCATGATCAGCTAGATTTCACGAACCAAGTAACATGGACGTTTGTTTCTCAGGTACTAGGTACTGATAGTGTCTTCCGCTATTGATGAATACTACCCGTTCCGGGCTGTCGGGACTGTGGGTCAACAAAAAATGGCGACTGACTTGGCAAGTCTGGCGCCATTTGAACGCTGCGCCCAAATTTTCGTCTTCTCCAAAATGAATCCCGACAATTCGGCTTCAGAATCGGAGTCAACCCGACGTCAATGATGAAAACCTCCACTCCCGGTCCAGACTCCGCAGAAACTCACACAAACATGCCACCAATTGGTCAATCTTCCGCCGTAAGAGGCTTGGCTGCACTCAAGGTCGTGGGTCCGGGATAAAAGCGACCGGTTCGAACAGGGATTTGGTCGTTGACGTGATAAGCAGTTCGCGGACCGATACGACACTGCAATGGTAGATAAACGTGGGTGGGGGATGAGGTTGCCGGTGGGAGACCACGGATTTTAACGACGTTTTCTCTCGATCGGCGTTTTACCAGAGAAAGTCGCGGGAGAAGTATGGCGGATTCAAAGGCGGCTAATGTCGTCTCTACTGCCGCTGTAGCGAGCGATGATGTTCTAGCAACCTCCCCATCCAGCAAGGCACAAACCTCGACAGCGCCAGGTACGGCAGCGCTACAGGAAGATAGCAAGTCTGACGATGGCTTGAATCTGAAAGACCCTGAGCGAAACGAGGCCGATGACGAGAGACAGCTGGTGAATGGTGGCGTTGTTATCCGTGACGGCAATGATGTTGCAAGATATGTCGTGTCAACGCAAGATAATGGCGATCAGGCCTGCACCTTCCGATCTTTCATCATTGGATCCGGTAAGGCTCTCTCACGACTTGAGTCTACGCATGACGATACAAGGTTGTATGAACTAACGCCAAAAAGGTCTCACTGCTCTCGCGGCCTGTATCAACCAGATGTGCGTCCAAGATCAGACTCATCAATCGGCCCCTTCCGACAGATACTGACCGGCTCTTTGCAGCTACTTCTACAAGCCCGTCGATGTTTCTTTCGCTTCGGTGTGAGTGTTCTATGCAAAACGGTATACTCAAAAGTGTTGGGATCTTGATCTAACCATTCGGGTTAACAGCTTCTTGTGTCTGATGGCATATGTGATCGGCGTGGCATGGTCCGTTGCTCTGCCTCGCCGACACCACGTTGAGAAATTCCTACCGTCTCAGGCGAGATGGCTCGGGCCAGTTGTTCACTTCATCAACCCTGGCCATTTCGGATTGAAGGAGCACGCGGTGGCTTCAATCCTTTCCACGTCGAGCGGAAACGGTGCTGCCATCGTGCAGGTATTCGGCGCAGAGCGGCTGTGAGTAAGGTGACGTAGACGCTGATTCTTCCAGGGCTGACAAATGGTAGATTCTATAACCGAAGCACCGATGCGGCCACAGCTATTCTGACTGTCTTCTCAGCTTCCATCTTCGGATATGGTCTTGTCGGACTCTTGCGCTCGATTCTTGTTCATCGTGAGTCTTTGGTCACACCCGGTAATTGGCCAATCATGCAATACTAACACAGACCAGCCAGTGAGATGGTCTGGTGGCAATGCCTCCCGATGATTTCTATCTACCAGACTCTTCACCGCGATCCCAAGGGTAACAATCGAGAACGCCTTCGCATGTTCGGATTCACTTCCATCGGCATGTTCATCTGGGAACCGATCGCGTCGTACATCTGGCCTTGGTTGAACGGCATCTCCATCCCCTGTCTTGCATCGATGAATGCGGCCCCTCCAACGCGCAAAGTCCTGATGACTATCTTCGGCGGCATTTCTTCCAACGAGGGACAGGGCATTCTCAATTTCTCTCTCGACTGGCAGTACATCACTTCCCGGTATATGTCGCTTCCCCTACTGCAGCAAGCCAACTCTTGGGTGGGAATCGTTTTGTCATACATCATGTGCTTTTCTCTCTATTACGGCGGCGCATGGGGGGCCAAAAAGTTCCCGTTCATGTCGACAGCCATGTTTGACGCGAAAACTGGCAAGGTATACAACCAGACTGCCGTCTTTGGCCAGAATGCCATCCTGGATACCGAGGCGCTTGAAATACACGGACTTCCACGGCTGACTGCGTCCAACGTCTGGGCAAATATGGCGGCGATGGCTGCCATTGGGGCCTTGATCACTCACATCTCCCTTTTCTACGGCCCTCTGTGAGTTTGTTGGCCCCGAGTCTTATCTCCGTTAACTAACTCCTGAAGAATCAAGAGATCTTTGATACAAGCTTGGAAGAAGACCGAAACGGATCCTCACTACAAGGTCATGCAGGAAAACTACAAGGATGTGCCCATGTGGTGGTATCTTGCGATCCTTCTCGTTGGCTTCTTCACTGGACTTGGGGCCGTCATCAAAGGGCACACAACTCTGGATGCCTGGGCTTATGTCTGCGCAATCGTAAGCCTCTCCAGCGATAAATATGAGTCCTCTTACTGACGCGGCTACTCAGCTTCTTGGATGCATTGTTGCACCCTTCTCGCTTTGCTTGTATGGCCTTTTGGGTACTAGCGTGGCGACAAACAACTTATCCAAGATGCTATGCGGCGTCTTGCAACCGGGTAAACCAGTTGCAAACCTCTACTTCTCCATGTTTAGTCACGAAGTCACGGTTCTCTCTGTTTTTCTGTCTACCGACCTTAAGATGGCACAGTATCTCAAGATTCCTTGGAGGACCATGTTCCTCCTCCAGACGTGGGGAAGCCTGTTCGGAACGGCTTTGAACTACGTGATCATGGATACGATTGTCGCCAACCGGCGAGAGATTCTCTTAGACCCGATCGGCAACCAAGTTGTGAGTTGTTCTCTCCGTTGGTCTCAATCGGATTGCTGACCAATAATCAGTGGAGTGGACGCAAGATCCAGTCTCTCAACACGACTGCCGTAACCTGGTCTCTCGCAAAGTACGTCTATGGCTTCAATAAGGACGGATACGGTTGGTCAGTACTCCCGACGATGATTTTTTGATATGAAATGAGTCTTACCATTGGCAGGATCCCTCTCTCCATCGTGATCGGGGCTGCGATCCCTGTTGCTCTATGGCTTGTCTCGCGCAAGTACAAGACGATTTATGGCTGGGAGGTCCGGAAGCTCGTCACCCCTGTCGTATTCCACAACGCCTCGGAGACCACATCCGGCACGACCTCCGTCATCTGGTCCCAGGTCGCCACCGGCCTGTGGTCCCAGTGGTACATGCGTCTCCGGCACCCTGCGTGGTTCGGCAAGTACAATTACATTGTCGGCGGTGGCCTTGATGCAGGTGCAAAGGTCATGATGTTCATCCTTACCTTCGCAGTAGCTGGAGGTTCTGGAAAAGAAGTCCCTTTTCCGACGGTATGCTCTCATCACTTACCCCAACTTTGAATAATTCTGACGAGGCATAAGTGGTGGGGTAACCCTGACAGTTCATCAAAGCAGTATGCTGACTACTGCGGCACTGGCTGATTATCCTTATCCTGTTGTCTACCTTCAGGTCCGGTATTTATCAGGTTCACCTGCAATTGACTGCTTCTGGTGAGGTAAAGCGCTCAAAACACAGTTGTCACTGTGCCTTTAGTTAGAGCAGCCCAGGCCATGCAGCGTCCACCGAGGCACTCTGACGTTCAATTGCCAAAGCAATATTACATATTGTTCTTTGTTTTATTTCTCTTTTGATGTCCTCTCTGGACAAAATTGGAGGGCCGTGTTCATCAGAATAATAATCCAATCATGTTCAATAAACATAAGTAACCCTGGGGACATGATTGCAGCCTACTCCCAATCAAGACCGCTTGGCAATGCAAGGGAGCTAACAACGCCAGGAAATTTTCAAGCAAGCCTAAGGACACCAGGATATTTATCCGAGAGCATCTAGACACTGCTGTAGTCAATCAAGAACTCTCCTCGATCCCTTGCGATTCGGCACCACCGAACGTGCACTTTGAGATACACGGTCGCACTCAACCATGGACTTGGGATTCAAGCACCTTCGAAGTGATGCAAATAAAATACACTTCACATTTGGCGCAAACATTGATGGACCGTACAGCAGCGACATTCTTGCCATGAACCTCTCAAAGACCGCTGTTAGTGAAGCTCTAACAACCCCGCGAACGTGCAAGGGAGACAAACAATAATTGCCCGCCATACTTGTCTCTCGCATGAAGATGAATTTCAATGAGTCCGGATGTTAGTATTGGCACTATGTCTCCTTGTCGGTCATAAGCTGAAGCATACTTATCAGCGCCGTTTCTCTCATCCTGTGCCTCGACGGTTAAGAGGGGTCTCCCTGAGCTGCCTATTTCAATCTCTGAGAGATCCTTCCAGACGTCCCAAGCCCCCAAGCTCATGTCGGACCACAAGCACCGCAGCATGGAACTCATTGCAAACTTGATTGTCATCCTAATCGCTATTCGACAAGCGCTTGCATCCGGAGGCTTCAACAAAAGCTGTTCTGAGATCCGCTATTGGGATCCAGACAGCATCTACGGCCGAAAGAACCAGGCGTCACCATACATCGTTGCTAGATGCATGGATTCCGGCAAGAAAGATCGCTGCAGCTGGTTGCCCTTGACCGTCTGCTTTTCCAATGACGATGGTGTGTTCGGCTACAGAAAGAAGTGAGTGGCCCCGAGAAATTTACCCTTCGTGTCAACCCACTGTCGGAACACTTTCTGGAGATACGCGCTGACAATTTCTTAAACGCAGTGGAAACTTTGCAAAGACATGTCACGACTGTCAGTATGATAAGAAGACAACCGACTTCTTCTGTCTATGTCCAGAAAAGCCCGAGGGGCAGTATTCTTTTCCCCGGGTACTACTGAGTATGTGCTACTTCACATTTCATCCGAGCTATAACACAAGACGAAATACACTGACATGTAGACTCTCAGATGATTACATACGGACTGAGAGCGGCCTAATTTGGTGCCACAATGTGTATGGTTTTGAAGTCAAATGTAATGACTTCGAGTTCATGAAGTTGCGATTTGAAAGTTTGTAGGTGGTCCTAGTGATCCCTGCGTTTGATGCAGAACGAATGCAGAACACATCCCAGAATTATTGAATGCAAGTTATTTTGCGCGAGATATTTCAATCATTATGTGTAGAGCGACACCAGGGCGGAACGCAGCATCAATGCTTTCCCTCTGTCGGAATCAACACCAACTACAGCCTAGCCCTCCTTGCGCCTCCCCAGTCAGGGTCCATGTTGCTTAATTGTGCCTCACGTAAGTGAAATACCTCCGCGTGCAGGTACGAGCACAAACTCCCAAGCATATCAGAACGGCTGGCATACCGGATGCTTGCTCATCTTTCAGCCACAAAGAGGCGACTCCGTCGCTCGTACCACTCTAGTTCCAAAGGACATTTGGACTTGCGGTATTGTTTGCGTCCTTGCAATGCTTTGATGCCGTATTGTGCCATGTTTGTCTCCCGAGAGCTTTCACATCAAGCACCAGCCATAATTCCATGGCATGTCTTTGTCAGTTCATGAGTTTGTTCAACAAACCCCGAGCCAACCCTGCCCTTAAGAAAACCACACCTCGCCACACCTCGAGAAACACAGACCTCCATTTCAACCATCGATGGCGTCCTTGGCTTGCATACTCTGAAGTACAAAAGCCGCCTCCGAACTCAACTCACCTCTCTCCCTCTCCAGGCCTCGTCATCACACACTGCTAGAATCCAACTCAACCACCATGAAGCTCACAATCCTTTCTCCCGTCCTCCTCGCAGCCGGGGCCCTCGCCGCCCTCAAAGACCATTGCCAATTCATCCGCCACATCCACACTGGTAACAGCGAACACCCGACAATCGAGTACAACTGCCCGTCTCCGAACCCCGTCGCGTGGCCGTACAGGGCTTGCTGGTACGTCGATCTTGGAAAATGCTTCATCAACGACATGGGCCAAATCCGCGCCCAGAAGGAGTAAGTCCCTTTTTCTATCTGCTTTCATTTCTTTTTCATGATCGCTCACCATTGTAACCTTTCGTGCTACAGCGGCGCGTTCAGTAGAAGCTGCAGGGATTGCACATTCAACTCGTCCACCGAGATAATGCGCTGCCGGTGCGACATTGGAACTTTTGGAACTTGGAGGTACTCTGAGGTGAACATCAGTAAGCAGCCACACCCCTTACTTTGCTACTCCCGATTCACTTGGCCTTGTTTTTGTAGACGGTCAGCATACTAACGCGACCTGTAGATTCGGCACTTGAATATGTTTCCACCGAAGGTGTGGGTTGCTACGGGGAATTCTTTCAGACTGGCTGTCAAAATGCTTGAATTAGCCATTGAATATTACTGGCCGAGCTACCGCGGAACCTGTAAATTACATTGCTGTGGCTGTTGGTTTTTGAAAGCAGTAGGTGGCAAGTAGCGGGAATGGTGGGCATTGAATAGTTGGAGTAGATACTGCGACTACTTGTTCATGAACAAGGTAGAAGTATTCGAAACGCGTGTTGCATTGTAGCTGCAGTCTTGCATGCTGTTTATTTCGATATGTCAGACCATCGAAAGTTCGGGTTAGGAACCCAGCAATTTTTCACTATACGCATTGTCTGCAATCAAACGAAGGCGGCTGTTTGCGGACTTGCCAACTCTCTTGAAAATCGGAAATCATCAATTACGAATGATACCCTAAAATGCGGTGTGATTAGTAGCACAAGAAATTCGCAGATTCGTTCATCTTAAAAAGAGGAGTAGTAGCTGGTTTTGCTGCGTGGGCGGTGTAAATCGTTGTACCGGGTTGCGCGAAGTTGGATACACGCAATGTCCACCCCAGATCATGATATGTAACAAACAGTTGTCGTGCCCCACCAAGCACAGCTACAAAAAACTTCACTCGCAACAAATTTTCATCGACCTTTCTTCTCCCACACAAACCGGTCTTCACCACTCGATAGACCAGTCCGCAACGGCACGACACTACGAGGACCGAATTTTCCCGCACCCCAAACCATGTAGCTGCGTTCTCGCACGCATGACAATGGGCGCAATTCACCTCTACCTCGTCCGCCACGGCGAGTCCGTCGACAACGTCGCGAACCTCTAGTACGCGCGCCTCTTCGCTGCTGCCGCCTGAATTTGGCTGGGTTTTCCCTTCCCTCGTCCTCTTTCTAACGTGCGTGGCATTGGTGTCCGTGCAGTGCAGGCTCTCGCGACGCGTCCTTGACTTCCCACGGCGTCCTGCAAGCCAGGCGCCTAGGCACACACCTCGCCGCGCGCACCGCCTCGGCGCCCGTATCGCACATCTTCGCTTCGAATTTGCAGCGTGCGTATCGCACCGCCGAGGCTGTCCGCGACGCCCTCTCCTCACCCCCGAACGCGACCGAAGGTGAAGCTTCGTCGTCGACGGCAGGCAGCAGGGTAGAGGTCGTGCAGCTGCCCGAGCTTCGCGAGAAGCACTTCGGGTCCGGTGAGGGTCAGAAGGTCGGCGCCCGCGCTGCTGGTGAAAGACACGTTGGCGCCGAGACCTCTGAGGCGATGTTTACGAGGGCGAAGAAATTTGTGGACGAGTACCTCGGCCCGATCTTCGCCTGCGTCGACGAAGCTGAGGAGGGCGCGGAGAGTGTCGTGGTCGTCGCGCACGGGATCATCCTCGGCGTGCTCGTACGGGCTCTTCGTTCTGCAAAGAACTTCGGGACCGTCGTCGCCTCGCCTGAGGACCAGTTGCCTTTAGCCTGGAGCAATACCGGCTACGTCGAACTTCTCGTCACGCCCGCTGCACCACCGGCCAAGGAGCCAGCGACTGCACCCACTTGGCCTGGCTTGTCCATCAAGACAGTCGCCGTCAACTCCACGGAGCACCTCCAAGGTCTGAAGAAGACGCGAGGTGGAATCGGCAGCGCCAAGTTTGACGAGAAGCAGAAGACGCTCAACGCGTTCTTCACGCCGACCGCCAAGAAGCGCAAACACGGAGATGATGCTTGACGCCTCTCTCCGACCTGGCCGCCGGGTCTGTTCAATGCAGAGCGGCTCGGTGGCCTAATTGCTACAAGGTATGTGCAAAATTTTCACTTCTTCAACCCCATACCCCCGCTTGTTGTGATGAGGCAAGAAAATTCACAGACCTGTACCGAAAGTATACGTGTGGAAAAACATTCGTCCAACCGCTGTCTGACACAAGCTATCAAATCACTTTTGTTTTGATGAACTTCATTTTGGACGGGCCTTGACTAACATGGCTCAGAATACAGATACTTCACAATACACCTTCTGCTCCTGGAATAACGGAACGGGATTGCCTAGACTAGTTGCGTCCGCATAATACAATAATCTTCAAGTCAAAACCCTCGTGCCTTCAATATGATGCCATTCATTTTTAATCCATGGTTATGTGATCATAACGTCGTTCAGAAGTAGCCTGAGAATCGTACACAGTTCGTTACGCGGTGCTGTCATCCTAAGGTAATAAGCCTACACATCCGTACTCCACTCATCCTTTCCGGTAAAGACCTTGTGCACCCTCTTGCTGACAGACTTGCCCACAGCTCTGTCAGAGAATCCACCGTCCTTGTTCGTGCTCTTCCTGATGTTCTCGAGAACCAGCGGCCCGCCCTCCTCCAACCCCTTCACAAGCTTCGGCACCGTCTCAAACTTAGTGGCGATGCCCCATGCGATGGGAGCCGTGACGCGCACGATTTCCTGCAGCATCCGCACATAAGTGTCCTTGATATCTTCTCCCGTACGTACCTGGCCGGTCTCCATGCAGAAGCCCGCCCCAGCAGCGTTGGCTGCCTCGCGCTGCTTGCGGTAGGGTACGGTCGAGATGTGCTGGGTGAAAATAGCAACCCACTGCGCAGTCTCGACGGCCGCGCTCGTATGGTGGATGAGCACGTTATGCATCACCTGCAGCTCCAGCAAGGCGTCTTCGACCGAATCCTCGTCAATGTACTCTTGCGGCTGCTGGTTCTTACGACGCCGCGGTTGGGCACTCGTAGAGGATTCGGCTGGCTCTTCGTTGCGTACCGCAGAGGCAAATTGTCGATTGCGGACATTGCGGTTCTTGCGCATCCATGGCGTGAGGCCCTCAATCAGGTAGATGAGCTGCTGTGTCGGGAAATGGCGCTTCATCCTCAAGACATGAGCTTCGAGGTTATTGCCTTCAGGACCGAGTGCATATGTGACGAACTCCGACGCGTTGACAATGACCAGCGCGAACTTGTCGTCTTCAATATGCATCGGCATTGGCTCCCAGTGTCCAAGCTCTTCGTTAAAGCGGCTGGCTACCTTTCTTCTCCACTTGACGACGTTATCCACGGGGCTGTCCCAGGTCTCATTCTGGACGTCGAGATCCTTGAGTAGCGTCTGGATCTGAAGAGTGACAGCAGCAGGCAGGCTTGACGGAAGATCTGCAATCATCTCAGGTGTCGAGACCTTCTTGTCGGTCCTGATCTTGTTGACCTCCGCCAGGGCAGCGGCGCGCTCCTTCTCCTTGGCCTTCTGCTCCTTTGCAGCCTCCTTCTCTTGCTTCTTGCGTTCCTTCTCCCGCTCCCGCTCTGCTGCCTTTGCTTCTTTATCCCTTGCCCGATCGTCGGCCGACTTCTTGGTTGTAGCTCGAGCACTGGTCGACTTGCTCTTCGTCGATGGGGCCTTGTAACTCGTCTTCTTCGTCTCGACTCGGTCCTTCAGCCTCCTAGCATCGAAGTTATCGAGATCTGGGAAGTCATCGTCCGAGTCAGGGTTGACGTTCCTTGGTGCCGGCTCGTCATCGCTCAAGTCGATAATCTCGCTGACAGACTTGGTAAATGTTCTTCGTGGCGGTGGCGAAGAGAATGGGTCGCTAGGCAAATGTCGTTCCGGCGCGGAGCTGGATATTGGGTCCCAGTTGGCTCTTCTCTTTGGCGATCCCGCCCTCTGCTTTCCTTTGTCCAATGACTTGCTTATAGGTTTTGGAGATCGTGGATTTGCGATCGAGGCTGCTGCCCGCTGCGGCGGTTTTGCAAGAGTACCGTCATCGTCGTCATCATCGTCGTCGTCTAACAGGATCGTGTCTGGTTCTGCGGGGGGGTTCGGTGGCGGTCGAGGTGAGCTTGCGAAAGGGTCATCGGAGGTAAGATCGTAGTCTATACGGTCTTTCCTCGGTGATGGAGCCTTGGTTGCACCTCCATTGGAACTATGCTGTCTGGGTGCTGGCTGCGCCGAAGGAGGTGACGAAGCGAATGGGTCATCGGACTCGATTGTCTTAGAGATCTTTCCCGTTGCCGCATTGCTCGTCGCGGGGCGCGGAAGTCCGGGTGAGCTGGAGAAATCGATCGGATCATCCAAAGTCTGGGCTCGCCGGAACGCGCCAGATTGTTTCACAGGCGGTCGGCTGGGCTGATCGGTAGCAGAATGCGACCTGTCAAACGTGCGACCGGCTCCGCCTCCAGGGGGCGAAAGACGCAATCTCTTAGTATCTCTAGTATCAGAGTCTGGCACCTTCTTAAGGGGCAGGCTACTGTCCAGATCGATCGTCGTGTCGAAGTCATCTGACATGTAGTAGACCGGCGCATCGTTGACAGGTTGCTCGTCCCGTGGGCGCTTCGCACCGGACACGCTTCTGGGAGAGTAGGTGGGCTTCGGTTGCTCGGGTCGGGCAGCAGGCTTCGATGTTGATTCTGGGATCAGCTCTGGTGAGTCTGCCGTCAGATCGAAGACATCATCGTCATAGTCGAGCGCAGTTGCTACGGTCGCTACCGCTTGTTGTGCTGGTCGAGGTGCGGGCTGGATTGGCGACGGCCCTAGAGAGGGACTGGACAGTAGGTTGATGACCTCTGCAGGCATGTCGTTGTTGGATGTATATAAGGCCTCAATGAGCCATAAGCGCAAAAGCCAAGAAAGTCCAAAATGCGCCCGACAGACACTGCGCCGCACTGCGTCGATGACGACCAAAAATCACAATCGCGTCTTGATCTCGCTCCTCGAGGTGGGGCACGCGCGGCACCACTCAGAGCCGGGCAGTCTGAGCGCGAACCAACCACGACCGTCACGTGCTCATCCCTCCATTATGACTAAGCTGGGGAGGGGATCCACTATGCACTTAGGCAGTTGCTGCCACTTTGCGTTTATCCGAACTTCTTTTTCTTGGTCCAGAGCAACATCAATACTTCACAACGTGCCATCGTGCGTTATCGACATCCAAGGCCTCGCTCCCGCATCCAGGACCTAAGCGATGTCGTATTAGCATGTAAGCTTAACATGCTGCAACCAGGATTCGAGGGTCTCGAAAATCGACAGATTCAATGAGGGCCCGAGCGCCAGATGCAACCGCACACCCGTCCATCGAAGTTGACAATCCAACGTGAACCACCAGCCAGCCTACTGCTGGGGAAGATGACGACTGAAGGTAGCAGTCCGCGGCGAACATCATGCCATCACGGTCCATCAGACGTCAAAAAGCGCGCAGGCCCCGCTGGTGATTCCTGTCAAGGGGCCCAACCGCCGAATGATTACCACAATGGATAACGGGCCGACTTTTTGACAGCCGGCAGATCGACTGCCCCACGGATATCGGAACTCAAAGATCTTGGCATTTGTTCCTAGCAGCACCCACGCCTGGTATGGATGAAGATCGATCAACCTGGCTTGATTCGATAGGCACTTCATCTTTCGGGGTGTGTCCGATAGCTGGTGTTCCCTCCATCGCTGCCGCCGGCGTATGTATGGGTTGGCCGGAGTTATTGTCTAACTTCCTTCTGGAATTAGACCAAGGTAACGAGACGCAATGCGAAACCGAGCTCTTGGGAGGGAACTTGTCCGCGCTAATTACTACCCAGCGAAAGTGGTTTCTTCTAGCTACAAGTCGATACTATGATGAAGCTCGACAACACACAAAGTTCAGAACGCTGTTGCGCCCGGAGAAATATTCTCGAGGATGCGAGTCAACTCTCCCCACACCTTCTCCTGTGCTATCGCTCCATCATCGCTCCTCACGAACGGCGACAACGCCTCGTTGTCAATCTCGCCGTCTCTCATGTAGGTTCCGTGGCTCTCAATCCCCGCTGACGCTGCTGCAACAAGCGTCCGACTGCCCACCTCAGTAGATCGAGCCAGCACCAACTTCAGCATACTTGTCGTCCATCCGTCCTCGCGAGTCAATTCTGAGTGACACATCCCAGGTTGCAGCATATTGACCACAACGCCTGAGCCTTTCAACCTCGCAGCCAGCTCGCGAGTTACCAGGATTTGCAGAAGCTTCGTGGCTGGGTACCGCATGTTCATGTCCGCTGTCGTCTCGTCATCCAGACTATTGAACGTATTTTCCGTTTTCCATTCCGGCAAGTCGGTCCAGGCGTGGACTTCGCTGGTTACCACAGACAAGTGAGGCGTGGCATCAGAATAAGTTTTTGCTGTTCTCTTCAGAACGGGCACCAGCAGGAACGACAGTAGAAAGGTACTGATGACATTGACGGTGATGCTGCGTTCGTGTCCCTCTGCTGCAGTGAAGCGCGTCGTCGCAATGCCCGCATTTGCCATCAACACATCCAGACGAGGAAGCTGTGAAGCTCGTGCTGAAAATGCCCGTACTGAGTCGTACGAGGCCAAGTCTACCTCCCATACCTCGCAAACACCCTGTCGGCCCGTTGATTGCTCGATCGTTTCCTTGGCTTTGTGTCCGGCCTCCACGTTTCTCACGGCGAGAATCACGCGGGCGGCATTGAGGCGGACAAAGTGTCGAGCCGCTTCGTATCCGAGGCCAACATTGGAGCCTGTCACGATGATGACCTGGTCTGTGAAGAGGGTCGTTGGAGCTTTTGGTTCGACGAAAAGCTGAGAGTAAAGAAAGCCCATGTTGTCGTGCCTTAAAAGTTTGATAACATCCAGCGACAATGTCTAGATATTGGAGGATTCAAGCACGCCGGATATTATAACGAAGCTAAAGACCCAGTTTGCAGCTCCAGAAAAGGTCCAGACCAGACATGTCAGCAAATGCCTGGAATTAGCCGCCTTTAAGCCCGCCTTACCTCCATGAAGCCAATCCCCAAGCGACCATTTATCCGACAAGATAGCAATTTGAATAGGTCACCCATCGAACGCATATCAATCGGATCAAAATTGGCTGAACAGCGTAGAACAACATACGATGAAAGCTTTCATTTTCGCATCTCCATTGCTCTAAATAGGTAGAATAATAATAATTTGATCGACAAAAATGCATCATGGCCTTGGCCGCATGCACTAAAGGCAGTAATTAGATATTAATTCGTTCAGTTTGCGGCAACAAGTCACCACCTTCGTAACATTTGCAGTGGGTCCACAATAGGTCGCTGGGACTTCTCGATTTTGCTTGTATAGCTAGATGAATCCTTTCCATGGTGATAGCCACGAGTTCAGAACCTGACCCTAGACGCTATTTGATACGCAGACGGTAAGTTGAGCTTACGCAAGAGATCGGTGCCTGTAATATAGCAAGCGCTTCCTATTAAGCAACGATTCCCATTACGTATTACACTGCAAAGTACACGCGACAATGCAGCCCTACGAATGCTTGTTAGAGCCCGCCTTAGAATTCGGGTTCCGGATTGATCCCGCACGGGATCTAATTGTGCTGGGGCCGAGCCGGGCTTCTCCAGAGTCGCAGCACCCTGTCATGACTCCTACATACGCCCGTAGGGCGAGTCATGGATATGCTGATGCAGTTTGAACCTGACCAGAAATGTTGCCCTTTAATATAGTCCGTAACTTTATCAGACGAACTCTACAGAGCCAAGCTAGGCCCCGTGCTGGGCGTAATCCCATTTATGCTCTTCTAACACACATGTGGTGATGAACACTAGCTGGACAGCAACCGCGAACCCAAACAACGGCCAGTGTCGTCCTCCTTACCGATGAGACAGGCGACAGGCTAGCCCTTCCGCCTGGAGCCTTAACATCCCCCATACTCTTTGGCAGTAAGCTGTCATTAACCCCAGTTCCGTACTGCTGGGTCTTTCGGAAAACACGGAAAATATTCCCTCATGCACGGACGGCGAATGATGCTTAAAATATTAATCGTGGCTGTGTGCTTAGCTTCAGACGGGGTGACAGATTGATTGACCATGGATTGACTGACTCGTCAGCGATGCTGTGACCATCTTTGGTATCCGTCTCTAAAATTTGGATAGACGGTGGTAATAAGACCTGTCCATTACATATATAAACGAATTCTAATCACTGATCGAGCATGTAACCTGCTGGGACTATTCGCCTTCTTAACCTACCGTTCATTCCGTACATCACTGGCATCTTAGCATCACCTTCATTTTTCAACTTCACAATGCAGCTCTCACTCATTCTTCTATCTGCGGCCTCCGTCGCCTTCGCCCTGCCTCAGCCTGTGCCTCAATCATGCGATGAGACTTGCCCCAACCCATGCCGACAGGCCAACACAAACACATACTGCACTGGAAAGAAGGTCTCAGAACTCAACAACACACCCCCACCTGCCCAGTTCAAGAACCAATGGAACTGCCCCGCCGGTAGCAGTTCCCCTCCGGCAACCTACATCCAGATGACGCAGAACGGAGCTGCTGAGGGCGGTGTCACCGTCTTCTGCACCATCTAAAAGAAACGCAGCTCCTAACTTCGGCATTGCAAGCCATGACGAACGACGCGTCACGGAATTTTGGCTTGCGTCGTACATCAATCCAACGACAACGCCTCACCCAGTCAAGGTGGAGGTGGATTTGGGCAACCGACGGCTTTCTAGATTATTGTTCTAGAGTGTACTTATTTTGTAACCATATATCTTTGGTAGACAATCAAACTTTTGATACCTAGTTCCCACTAATTACACTGTATCCTTACTTCCGGCCGTGAGAATAGCTGTACGTGACAAGCACCCTCGATTTCCCCTTCATGTACTGGGCAGGCAGGCCTGTATGTCGAAAGTAAATGCAGTCTAGCTGAAAGACACGCTTCTCAGACTCTAGAGTAGGTCCAGAGCAGGTGTCAGCGAGAATCTGGACTTAACTTGGTTTAAGCCCGGTTACCGCCATCCGTCTCCACCTGACACTTTGCCTGATGGAGAAGCAAAGCCAACACACCAGACAATGGTCAACAGCTCGGTTTCGGGTCTTGACATTACTTAAACCAATATCTTTCCTTTGGGTTTATCTCCCATCATCACTCAGCAGGAACATTTCCAGAAAATAGCAAAAGTGGAAAACTCTACCCCCACTACATCCCTCAACCTCCAACGATCAAGTCGATTCCAACTGAACCGTGTATACCTCTACCATGGACTTCGCTCCCCCGGAACCCCCTACTGAACTCGGTCGATACCGCATTCTTTCGCCCAAATGCGGTCTCCGGGTATCACCGCTTCAACTGGGCGGTATGTCAATTGGCGACGCCTGGTCGAGCTTCATGGGCAGCATGAACAAGGAGCAGGCCTTTGAGCTTCTGGACGCTTTCGTCGCTGCGGGCGGTAACTTCATCGATACGGCCAACGATTACCAAAACGAGCAGTCCGAGGCCTGGTTAGGCGAGTGGATGAAGCTGAGGGGTAACAGAGACCAGCTCGTCATCGCAACCAAGTTCACCTCCGAGTACAGATCTCATGCTCTCGGGAAAGGAAAGACGCCCAATCATTGCGGGAACCATCGCCGTAGTCTATACATGAGCGTCCGCGATTCCTTGGCCAAGTTGCAGACCGACTGGATCGATATCTTGTACCTTCACTGGTGGGACCACACGACATCGATAGAAGAGGTCATGGACAGCATGCATGCACTCGTCGACCAGGGCAAAGTCCTCTACTTAGGAATTTCTGATACCCCGGCGTGGATCGTGGGCGCGGCAAACACCTACGCCAGTCTGCAGGGCAAGACCCCCTTCTGCATCTACCAAGGCCGGTGGAACGTCATGAACCGCGACTTCGAGCGCGAGATTATCCCGATGGCCCGGCACTTTGGCATGGCGCTGGCTCCCTGGGACGTTCTCGGTGCGGGCAAATTCCAGAGCAAAAAGGAGCTCGATGAACGCAAGAAGCGGGGCGAGAGCCTGCGCAGCCTCTTCAGCGGCGACATGACGGAGAACCAGACCGCTGACGAGGTGCGCATGAGCGAGGTTCTGGCCGAGGTGGCCGCAGAACACGGCATCGAGTCCGTCACAGCGATTGCACTCGCGTACGTCTTGAGCAAAACGCCAAACGTCTTCCCGCTCGTGGGTGGGAGGAAGGTGAAATACTTGGAGGATAACATACAGGCGCTGAAGATCAGGCTGACGGAGGACCAAGTGCGCCGGTTGGAGGCTGTGAGGCCGTTTGATCCCGGGTTTCCGAGCAACTTCATTGGGGAGGACCCGAAGGTTTCGGGCCAGCCCAGCGCTCTGCTATCTCGAGCTGGGCCTTTGGCGTTTGTGCAAAGCTCAAGAGCTATTGGATACGAGGCATGATTTGACGGAGGTGTCGATGAGCCTCCGGGCTGCTTACCAGTATGGATTGAGGAAACGTCACAGAAACTGTTGAAACACTCGATGTCAGCTTCCAGAGCAGCGTCTGTAGGCATGGAGCCAATACTACCCCAAACCACAAATAAGCGCTTACTTAGAACCGAGTCATAACCAAGACCCACGACAAGGTTGCAATGCAGGTTGCTAACTCTGTGCCATGCAGGGGTTCGTCTGGTCTCGGGGTGTTGTCATCACACAACTTAAACTTCTTCGTCGCCGGGCTAGACTCAAAGCAAAACGCACACCGATCTGTATCTAAACTATGATCGATAGAAGCCAATCATTCTCTAACATAAACGGCAAGCATCGTTGCCTACCGTGGCATAAAGCCAGCCCTCCGACCCTGACTTGTGAAATAATGTTTTTTTTAACGCAGCAAAACCATCTGATTGGTGGGCTACTGTTTGCTGTCCTCCTTGCCTTCGTCTCTATGATTCCAAGGCAAAGAGTCCCTCCAAGTGTCGATCATGTTCCACTCCCAGTAAAGCTCAGTACCTCCGGCGACCGCTGCTCGCTCTCTCAGTCCGTCAGGGGCGCAGGCGTACAGTTCCCATCTTGCCATTTCCTCGGCAATTCTGTTGTATCCTTTTGTCCAGGCGTATCCATATTGACCGCCTCCATCATCGAACCAGAAGTTGCCGTCCAAGTACCCCGGTAAATCCCTTGATCGTTCTTGGCAGCGAGGACTCAACTGCATCTGCGGAAAGCCTGAGCCATTGGTCTCGGGCAATGTCAGATCAACGCCGCAATCCATTGCATGGCGTTGTAGGCTCCTATCCGAGATATGAGGTTTCAACTCCGAGTAAGTCCCGGTGTATTGTCCTGCAATGGCAGCCATGATAACCTGCATTTTGGCGTTCGGCCGTCGGATAAGAAGTTCCCTCAAGGTGTTTTCTTCGGGAATCTTTGGATGCCAAATCAGATCCGCCACGTCTTCCCTGTCCACCGCCTCAGGTCCAACTCGAGAGAGGTCGTTATCCATGATAAACCTCGCCGTAACGGCTCTGCAGATCTTTCTCCCATAACATCCCATCCTGCCCATCTCCTCCTCGTGAACCGCCCACCACTTTGCAAACGTCGTGCTATGCTGGATCCCCCTCATCACCGCCAAAGACTCCCTCTTCTCCGCAGGAACAGGTCTCCGCAGCCTCACATAGCGATCCACATCCCCTTCCCAAGCGGCCATCAGAATCAGAACATCCTTCCTCGCCGTCGGCAAGTCCACCGGCAACGGCTCATACAACAACCACGCAAACTCTCGTGGCAGTCTCGCCATGTCAGGGTTAACCCCGACGCCCTCCCCGGTGATGTCAAACCACATCAGCCCCTGACTCCAGTCCGCCGGCGTCAACTTCTCCACATCCGCAAACAACCCCGACCTCAACGCCGTGTCCCCGTTCAAACCCACCCTGATCCTTCTCTCCGGGTTCTCGAGATTGACGGTACATGTGTAGTCGTCCATGACTGCATATCTCACAGGCTGCTCGACAATGGCCCTGAAAATCGCATCCGCGCCCGCGACATCGACGTCGGGCGCCCCCGCGTCCCGCGCATCCCGCGCCTCTTCGGCGATGGATATGTCCGGGAGGAGGTTGAGCTCGAAATAGAGCTTGGCGTAACCGGCCGCGGCGCAGGCCCGGCCGACATGGTACCGCATCTCCGGGTAGCGCCGGGCAAGCCGCCGGTAGGTGTCCTCGCTGCCGAGGTAGTACCAGATGCAGTACGGCTTCGGGTGGGAGTCGTGCATTTCCGGGACGATGTTGTTGGATATTTGTGAGGCGAGTGCTTGCTTGGTATACACTGGATCTTCTTCAAAATCTAAATCGTCTGTCCAGAGAACGAGGTCTTGATCTACACTGGAGGAAGCAGAGGAGGACGAGGAAGAAATAGAAGTACCCCAATTACCCATTGTGTGCGTGAAAATAAAAATGCGAAGATAACTGCGAACACAGCAGCATTGATTATTGGGAATAAAGTTGGTGCAGTGAAGATGAAAGAAAGAACATTTAAGCATCAAGTGGGAGCCGAATGATGTGATGTCTCCCATGTTTTATGCATGTTAAATTTGGCCTCACCCGCGGAGTTGATGTCCCATCTGGGCTAGAGTGCGGCGCATGCCGGACCACATCTGCCGCAAGAGATCATGGTAGCAGTCCGGAGCCGAGTCACGGCCGCCCAGTACCTTCCCGTCCTTTGCAGACTTTCTCCTCGCCCGTTCTTGAACTACACGTCTTCGGCAGTGTGGAGCAACCAATGACACACCGTTGACCGGAAGGGACCCGCCCCCGGATTTCCAACGCCGACCGCATCTCCTCAAGGCACTTGCCGATAGACTTTCACCTCTTTGGATTTACTGATGACACAGAGGCGTATGCGTGACCTGCATACGTTTGGAATATTGCTATTAAGTAGATGAGAAGAAATAGTGAACAGCACAAAAGCCGAATGCATCTTCCGACGTCCTGAATCCGAAGCTTCATTAGTCTCTCCCCATTGATCAGCAGCGTTTAATTGAGGCGCCCATGACCACTTTCTGACCAACTCGGAAAAACAGCCCCGAACTCGTCCGCCTTCTGACGCCATCTGGGACTTTGATGTCGGCTACTAGGTTCAGTCAGCAGGTGACGAGTTGAACAAGCTCAAGATTAGGTTAGCTGCCCGACTTCATCACATCACTCCGTCCCAATCGCGACCCAGCATATTCTATCTCGACCAACCAACATCATCCCAGCTTCCAACCCCTCTGTGCTTGAGCCCCATTGGCTCCCGAGCAAAGACCAACGAACTCTGCCCTGCGTGCTGGGAAGATGGACGACAACTCTACCGCCTTGGGGTAAGCCGGCGAGTCATTGACCAGCATCGCACCGAGGCTGTTTCTCTATTCGTAAGAATGGACACATCAATTGCTGAAGTAAGAGGTATGTACACGACGCTGCTCTCCAATAGTGTTTCAACAAACTGAGTCTTGCAAAACCTAAATTCCGACTAATGCCTTACCGCGAACTAAATGTCATGAACCAACCTTGCAGGCTCTGGGGGTCCCCGTCAGGGACAGACGGGCAGGAAATATCATCCTCTGGGGCCTTATAGGATGGAACGGGTCACCCCGTGAGATCCATTCTGCCCTGCGTCCTCCACTCTCTGTCTTACCAGCGCCGGCCGCCTGTGAAAGCTTGCTATCGTATCCCACCCGATGGGCTATTCACGAAACCGAAGCCCAAGATTCTTGGCAGGCTATCTTGGCTTACATATCCATCACGACGGCATTATATACCTGAGCCGCGGGTCTGCCCTCCAAAGGGGGTGAGCGGGAACGAAAACCAAACGACACAAACCAGCCGAAAAGAAACATCACGTCCGAACACCCCGCCACCGAGAGCCCCATCCCGCCGGAGCCATCCGCATCGCAACCTCCACACCCCCAATCACCATCCCACCCGCCCGCAACCCTTCGCGGGCCCGCCGCCGCCGCCGCCGCCGCTCCGCTCGGAGGCAAGGCAGAAAAAATGGCAGAAAACATCAAAGGCTCCATCGACCTCTCCCGCGAAGAGGCCATGGCCATCACCGCCCTCGCGACCGCGGGCATCTACAACGCCGTCGAGATCTACGTCCTCATCTTCACCACCTTCCGCCAGCGCCGCGGCCGCTACTTCTGGGCCATGCTCGTCGCCAACTCCGGCATCTTCGTGCACGCCATCGTCTCGCTGATCCGCTACCTCCGCCGCAGCGGCACCGTCGTCCCCGGCGCCTTCGCCGTCGCCGCCTGGTGCGCCATGGTCACCGGCCAGTCCGTCGTGCTGTGGTCGCGCCTGCACCTCGTCGTCTACAACCGCACCTGGACGCGCCTCGTGCTGGCGCTCATCGTGACGGACGGGTGCGCGATACACGTGCCGATGGCGGTGCTGTGGGTGCTCTGCTGGGCGACGCCGCGGGACGCGCAGGCGGCGTGGATCGAGCGGTACGGGGTGTACGAGAAGGTGTCCATCGTGGTCTTCACGCTGCAGGAGACATTGCTGACGGGGATCTTTGCGCGGCAGGGGTGGTACAACCTGCGGCCGCTGTTCGCGTTCAAGACGCGCTCGGCGAGGTTGATATCGTGGTACCTGCTGAGCCTGTTCGTGCTGGTGTTCCTGCTGGATGTTGGGTTGGTGGTGCTGGAGTACACGAACAACTTTGTGTTCCAGACGACGAGCAAGCCGTTGGTGTACAGCATCAAGCTCAAGGTTGACTTTACGGTGCTGAATAAGTTGTTGGCTTTTACGAAGATGAATTCGTGCGATTGTCACCACCTGAGCGACCAGCCTGGGAGTTTCACGAAGGGGCTTGTGACGTCGGATACGAATACTACGGCGAAGGGGAGGCAGAATGGGATTTCGCCCGTACCGGAATCTGAACGACCTGACCGTATATTTGACGGCAATTGAGCATCGAGAAGAGGGAGTGTTGTATTTCATGGAACGTACGGCCACTTGCCTTTGAGCAGACACGAGTTGATACCCATAGAAGCATGAGCATGCTGTAATGAAGCGAAACTGTTAGCGATGAGAACATTTCACGAGTAGAACCACTATCACGATTTCAGACCACAACCACAATATGTTGAAACAAGTTCGTTATCGGTTCATATGACCGAGGGTGACGCATGATGAGAGTCAGAGTAATTGAACGCTTCGGAAGTTCCGAGTTGAAATCACTGCGGACTAGGAAGCGACAGATAATAAGGTTGAGCAATGTCATTGAACTGCAGTTTTGCACCGTGCGGTGATAGCAGAGCAAACACCGATCAGGGCACACCCTTGAGCGTCAGTAGACAAGCTTCCAAAGGACCGGAAGACGAGAATCAGGGTAATTTCTCATATTCCTTGCGGACTTGCGGGGTAAAATGGCCCAAGCCGTCGCAGAGGCCTCAAGTCATGGGCGCAGCGAAGAGTCAGCATCGTCACTTGAGGCTATGGTACTGGGCTAAATCACGCTTCTGTGCAAGAAACAGTTTGGGGCGAGTGTGCCAGAATGACTAGGGAGTGACGACCGATGAATTCCAGCAAGACATCCAACGAATGTAAGATCACGAACTGCTTACAGTTGGCTGACGTTGCCGCCACCCAGGAACGGCTCGCCCGGCTGCTGAGTTGCGGACGCGATGAACGACACGCCAGCTGAAAACCGATTGACAATCAAAATCTCCGATACCTGTTCACTCCTGCGTGATGGAAGTTAGATCAGACGTAAAGCAGGAAACGGTCTGCCCGCGTGCAGACTGCGTCCCATTTGCCGACGTCAACTACTGCAAGCTGCAGGAGCTACGTTGTATCTGCAGACGCAATGCCACGGAGAAAACGGCTGGAACCGAGTTCGGAACAGACGGGCCTTTCCTTTGGTTCTGGCGTGGCTTGTCGGTTTGACAAGATCTCAAATGTCTTCAAGTGGTTTCACAAAACCTGCCGTGGCTTCATCCACCACGCAGAGTTCGAACTCGTAATATGACGCAACTAAAATCTTGCTGCTATCTTTGGGTTCGTCCGGCACGCAGCAAGACGGGAACGGACAGCGGGAAGGGCAGGACCGATTTGGCTTACCGGTGGATCAGTCATCCCGAAAGGCTATCCAATTGCGAGAGGATTTGGCGAGGAATGTAAGTGAGTGAATGGTGATGAGATGGGCGGCGCATGGTGAAACATGAACCGCTGTGTTCAATTGCGGGAGCAGTTGAGAACGGCGGGGCGAGGAGGAGAAGAGACGGCGGCAAGCCACCATGACCCTGCGTGCCGTGCGTGAACCTGCAGCTAAGAAAAGCGTGCGACGGTTCGTGGGTTGCCGCCACCACCACAGCAGCAGGTGAACGAGCAGGCCGCTGGCTTGTGCTCATGCGGACGGGGAGAGCAGTCCGCTGGGCCTAGCTGGGGATGTGCAGGTTTTCGGGGTTGATATTATCAGGGTCTCCTGGCATTCTTAAAGTCAAATCATTTTTCTGAACCCCGTAGGGTGTGTCATGGTTTATGCGATAATGTGGCTTTATCGTCAATGGAGGAAGTCTCGTTGAGCCGTTGACAATGCAGAGCAGGCAATTGGGTCGCAGGATCAGAGTGCTACACTTCCGCGATGCAAGAGGTTTTGGGGGCCATATCAAACTGTGCGTTATAACCCCCCAAGATAGGGATGAACGTTGGTATTTGCAGTGGACGCACGTGGAGTTGGTATGGTAATCAAACAAGAGCGTCGCAGGGATGGCAGGATGAAGTCTATCGACAGTTGAGGGTCGTCAGCGCGGAGACCCCGCGAGCCGATGCTGCAGACGGCACGGAAGCGTGTGAGATTCGCGACCTGCAGGCCAGGTGATTCTAGAATCGAATTCGAATGCGGACTGTGGTCAGACAGACTTGAGTGGGTTTGGTGACAGAAGCGATGGATGCTGGAAGACTCGGGGCTCTCTTCCGCGATGCAGTAGCGGCGGTAAGTCAAGACAGCTCAAGATGTCACACGGACCGTCCTCTTCGTCTGTCGGACTCGGATGTCTGTTTTTTCTTGATTTCTTGCGTCGCTCCCGGAGTCCAAGAACGCAGTTCTCAGGTCTCAGACCTCGTGGGGGGCCAAACAAATGTCTGGATGGGATGATGGGATTGGCAAGCGAGCCACCAGGCCCCTTTTTCCTGCGTGTGCCCCCTGGAGAGCGACGTCGAAGACGTGCGCACGGTGGAACGCGGACAGTTTTGAGTTTGCAGTGGCTGGAGATGTGCTGCAAGAATTCGGAGGATTCTTCTTGGAAGGATCCAATGCACGTTTGTCAGCTCTTGAAAAGTGTTGGATACGATGGAGGCGTCAGTTGTGGGCCGACTATGAGATACGGACGATAGGATGGCGATGCAAGCCGCGGGCCAGGTGAGATGGCACGCTGGGAGAGCGCGTTAGCAA